CCCCTTTCACTTAATTCTGTGACGATCTGCTCTGAAGCCTCTTTTGTGGGGGTTAGGCCAGACCAGGACTTGTTAAACAGTCATTAAAATGTAACAAAACTTATGTGTTTGTCCTGCTTTTGTCTCTTTCTGCCCTTCCCAGACCTGACAGCCCGCCTCTCTTGGATAAAGTGGGATTAGCGGAGGAACATGGGGCACCCTGAGCGTACAGGCTTCAGCGAGGAGGTGGTTCAGACTTTTTTTCCTCCTTCTCCTCTCACTGCATGTCAAGAACAGACAGCCAGCAGGAGAGAGTGTGCCGACAGACATCTGCAGACTTCTCACCAGGTCACACACCTCAGGCTTTCTTAGTCTTATCCACTACTTTGTTATTGGAAGCTTTTAAAATTCTAATTTGTTATTGACTGGTAATTGAGAGCCATTGTTTTTGGGGCAAAGACGAGAAAGAGGGTCGCCATTGTTGCCACAGAGAGGCACACTGGCACGAGACTGAATGGACTTGTAAAGGACTCATACTTCTGCACGCGGTGCTGAAGTGTTTTCTGGACTCTGGCTCATTAGGCTGCGAGCTGATGTGTTAAAAAGAACCTTGATCATGTAAATGAGACGATGGGCGTGAGAAGCAGATCAGTACGGCGTGCTGTAGCGTGTCAGGTGCTGTTTCCAAACATGGCAATGAGGCCGGTTGTTATCTGTCATCTGTTGTGTTTATTTATTTGTAATTATTTCTTATTTATGACAAAAACACTCATGGAAACAGCTTTACAAAATATCATCATGTAATTGTTTGCAGCTTGGAGAATGCAGTGATTTTCAGGCTTTCTGTGCATTTAAAGTTACTCCATCCCGTGTAAATGTGTAATCTTTCTTTCCAGACAAGTGCAGCACCATCAGTGGAGCAATTTTGTGTAGCTGTGACACTGATCTCTACTTAAAGGCAACACATTACCTACATTTTCCACTGTGGCCTTCATGCACAGTTCAAGCCTGAACATTAAAACCATTCAAAGACAACGAGAATAACATCGCTGGTGTCATTACAGGGTAATGGTCTGCTGGGAAACCTCGGGCCCTGACAGTCATTTTGACACACACTGTAACACAAGTGCAAACTGAGCAGGGCCAGACAAGCAGCCTTGAAACTGACATGCTGGTTGGGTGTTAAACCCAATCAAATTTGTGATTCTCACTTCACTGTCCAACAGATGAGCTTTGCTTTGGTCCAACACACAGCCAACCCTTTCTGTCTTACAGTGCAGCATTATGGCACCATTATCAGGCTGTAGCACACCATGGGATGATGGTGCTCGGCTTTCCTCTCAGCAGTCCGCAGATGCCGCTCCAGGTGTAGCTAGATGTGTAAAACAGGCGAAGGGAGTCAACAACACACCCATTTTTCTTTTGCTCAGGCAATTTTAGTGCCAGTAATGGAGCCCATAGGAAACCATTACAAAGCAGCCCGGTTATGACAGCTTATGGATGATGTGTAGCTGAATTTCTGTTGTGGGAATTTTGGTCACAGTCAATTAAAAAGAAGTCCCCAGTTGTTCTGTTAGACCGGTGAGATTCAAACCTTCACGTGGAAACGTCATTCACGGCATTTCTCTCTTCATGGAACGAGATGTGTGGAGCATAAATAATGCCGCGTCAGAGAAACCGTCCTGCTAGATAGCTTATTCTGTTAGGGAAGTATTCCAGTCATGTGAGTCACATTTGTGTGCGGTGCACCTGCTGGACAATGCAAATGCATCCAAAAGCCTTGAATATTCGCCTGTGAAGAACAAGATTTGATAAAACAGAGAAGAAGAGTATAAATGAGCCCGTGACCTTTTGTAGTCGTACTGATAAGTCACCTTTGTTACCACTCTGCTGTTCGGTGACCCCTGGGTCCCTCTAGTGGTATTAGTTAACTAATTATTTCCCCTTTTTGGTGTCCTGTGTGTGTTTTTCTTTATTTTTTCACATTTTGTCTTTAGTGACATCATCTCCAAGGTTCCACTGTAACCTAAATATTGAGATAAAAAGGACTAAAAGCACTAAAAAGTTATACAGTGCATATTAAAAACAGATGAAATGTGTGCCAAATTAAATCAGATGAATACAAACAATCTTCCATATAAATTAAAGAAGCATAAGTGGGATAATATTATCTGTAGAAATATCATTAAATAATGATAAATATGTCTCTTTAAGAGCTTAAAAATGTTTATAAAATGTAAATAAAAGAATTGAACCTAATCACTGTGTGACAGCCACAATGAAGAATCTGAGCTTGTTTGGTTAAAATGTGAAATTCTCACTTTGTGTAGTTATTTATGAACTTTCTTCAAAATACATAAGGAACTGGCTTATCCCCGTTAAGTGACGCCGTGCTGCATTTTCAAATGATTGCACTTGGAGATCATCAAAAACAGCTCAGAATACCATTCGGATGAGATATGATTCAGCCAAGCGGAAAATTTTAGTGGCCAGAATGAGTAACGTTCTTCCACTCTGTGGGCTGCATCGGACGTCTTCTCTTTTTTTGCACTGAGGTAGTTTATTGATTTAACATCCGGCAGTCTTACACTGACAAACACTGCGAGGCCATTCTGCCATCAGCCGGCAGGTGTGTTTATCATGTTAGTGTAACTGTGGAGTCTGGGTTGTGCGCTTGTAAATACAATCAGTACATCACATCCTGCTGGAATAATGCAGGTGTTTGTGTGAAAGACGCTCTGCAACAGCTCTGTCCAAAGGTCACAAATCAGGGAGAACAGAAAAGACGGACGCGTTCTGAAAGTGGCCTTTTTGTTTGACATCCATCCGTTTTCTTACTTGTTTATCCAATTCAGGATTGTTTGACATACAGTCAATCGTACTTTACGTGTGGCTAAAAAAGTAGATCAAAATTTATACAAAAAAAACAACAACATAAAAGAAATTCTTTCCTGCAACAACAGCTTGGACGTCTCATTTTGAAAGAAGTGGAAAGAGGGGGGAAAGTAAGCTATAGCATGCACTGAGTCAGGCTTGGGGATGACTTTATACACCACATAAAGACATAAATGTCAAGCTTCTGTCTTGAAATGTTTACATGTTTATTTGCTTTCGGGGCATTCCTTTTTTCCTGTCCTTTTTTATTTCTTTTTGTATTAATTACTGTTTAATATTAGAGGGAAAGCTCCAACAATCACACACGGGGAGTGAAAAGATGGAAGTGGAGAAAAAGCGCTCAGTGCATGATGGGAAGTCCCCTCGCAGTTGGAGCCTATTGCAGCCTAACTAATGGGTGGTTCAGGGTCACCTGGTCCAAGGCTTATACACAGCCCACATGTTACTCCTACAGAAGCTCCTCGGTCATGAAAAAACAATCCCACGAAGCTCCTGCGGCACAGTTTTTTGTGCTGATGTTAATGTCAGAGGTTTGGATCTGTGCAGTTATTGAGTCAGCAGGAGACTTAAGCATCATGTGGCTCAGCACTTGATGACTCTGTAACAATATGTGGTCTGCCACTTTGTGGCTGAGGTTTTGTGGTCCTTAAACCCTTTCACTTTGCAATAGTATGACTTACAGTTGATCTATCTAGAAGGGAAGAAATTTCATAAAGTGACTTATTGTAATGTGGCATGCTATTATGGTGCCACACTCCGATTCAGCGGGCTGCTTAAAACAACCCATTCTTTCACTAATGCTTGTAAAGGCACGCTGCATAGCCAGGTGCTTGATTTTATGCACATGTGGCAATGGGACTGAAAATCACCTGAATTCAAAGACTAAGAGTTGTAACATAATACTTTTGTCTATAAGAGTTATCACTCAGGAACCTTTGAAGCCTAATCTTAAAACAAAAGAGGGCGCCTGTCTCCTAAATCCAAACTGGGAGCTGGATCCACAGGAGAGCCTCTGCCTCCCATCCTACTTTCAGAAACAAGGAACCACTAATAAGCCCGCAGTCTCTACTGGGATAACATGTTACTACGAGGTCTTCAAGTTATGATGTGAGGAGAAAGATTTTAGTAGGGCACTCTTTCTAGCTGCTGACAGTACTTTATCTGACGTGTTTTGTATTAACTCAGGATTTCAGGAAGCTTTTAAAACAGCCTCATAATAAGCAGTTGCAATCATCCAGCCTAGGAGTAATTTTTTCGGCATCACTCTGACATGGGATGTTTCTAATTTTAGATATTGCTCAGATGAAAGAAAACAGTTGCTCAAAGACTTATCCTGGTCAGCTGTTCCCATTTTACTAATGAAACTCTAGCAGAAAAAGAAGGTAGAATAGACGTAATACGGTGTAAAAATAACCACACGTGTTACTTAGATGAGGAACCATAGACTGTATGTAAGAGATGGACAGCGGAGGGACTCTTGTAGTGGGAAGAGGTCTTTGGGAAAATAACCCTCGGGTCTCTTGTTTCATGGCCTCAGGAGACGTTTTCATGATACGCTTATGATCTCAATCGCTAGTTTCAAGTTTAAGTAAACATAACATGATGTTCAATTCATGCTATGAGTATCCAGTAGGAGGATAAAGCAGGGGATGTTTCAGAGCACGCCTACTTTGTGACTTACAGTCCCTACAATATGAGCGCCAACCCTAATAATGTACGCTTTCTGTGAGCTAAGATAGAGAAAGTAAAACAAAAGCGTTCAGTTTGATGTAGATAAATAAATAAATAAATATGACATCTAAGAACATCTGGGTTATTCTGCTAATTTAAAACCCGCTAATGTAATCCCACCCTATTACTCCACCATCAACAACTTCTATAAGCCAAACATCCGTCTGTCTCCAACTAAAATGCTGACGCCTCGGAAGCACCAGCACCGTGAGGGTCCAGTGTGTTGGCACTTTAAAAGCTGTGAAACTTTGGCTAAATACCTCACCTGCTTTCCTCATTACAGCTCCTCTTCACAGTCCTGCCCTTCATGCTTCAGCGCTTTCATCCTCAGAGTGCGTGAAGGAAAAATTTGGTGTCATCTTTACAATGTGTCCCAGGGGCCCGAATTCAAGGGCCCTGAACGGGCGCAAAACAGCCGATCATTACATTTCACACAGCCAGTGAACTATTCCACTTTTGACGATCACTTTTTAATCATTCAAGCATCCCTCTGGCTGATGCAGAAGGACCCTGAGGGCCGGCCTGCTTGCCCCTGCTGTCAGATTTATCTGTGAAATACAAATGAAAAGGTAGAT